TTCCCAAGAAAAGAGATTGTTAACCAAACAAATACTGCAGGGTACCACTGAACATTTTGAGATCCAAAACAGCCCAGATGCAATATTCTGCAGGGCTGCAGGCAGCTTTTTTGGTGGCACAAAAACAGACCAATGTCACTGGTATGTCTCTGGTCAGAGACTAAACAAAACTAAAATCCATTGAGATAACAGACCAGCTGCTCAGATGTCAGTAAGGATTGGCAGAGACCTTGCAGCCTCTGCAGCTGTTTCTCAGCCCCGTGCAGGCCAAAACAAGCCTGAACATAGCTCAGGACATCCACAGGCACCACAGGTAGTTTTGTGTGACTTGGTGTAAAGCCTCCTGACACCGCTGTGCCCTGCCATCAGCCCAGCATGACAGAGCTGGAGGGCCCGTGTGCACAAAGGGCTCACAGGGATGCAACAACATCTTGCAAATAGAAAATATATCAGAGGTGCCCACTGAGTATCCCAGAAGTCCAGGGTCTGCCAGGGGCAAGCACGTCACCAGCTTTGCAGACAGATGAGGCCAGAGGTGAATGACCAACAGGCTGGCTCTGCCTGCTCACTGAGGTACAAAAACTACTGATACCAAAGCCATAACGTCTCCAAAAGACAGCTGCCTTTCAAGGCATACCACCACCACCACCAAGAAAAAAACTAAAGAAATAAGAAGCAACAGTTCTTCAGATGCTAGCTACTAATTTCTAGACTGCTGAAGGAGTCACCTCCTCCACTCTGTCCAAAGCCAGGCTGACTCAAGGAAGCAACTGAGAGCAGGATCTGAAGATTTCCTCTCTAGTGTAACTACAAAATAGATGACAACTTAGAGAACTAGAGGCCATGTGTGGAGAAAAGCACCAACACTTTTGTTTTCTGAAGAATCAACACATAGAGTGATGGATAACATTTTACCTTTTGTTTGAAGGCTGTTCATGGCATCCAAAGCCTAAAATAAAATGAAAGCCAAATATCAGTGACAGATTAGACACTCTCACCACTATTTCAAAGCTCTGGTTAATTTTTATTCACCTTTGTGGGAACTGATTTTTCTTCAAATGTTTCCTCTTTAGTAGCTCGTGCTGTTTCAGACTCTGTGACAAACAACCTCAATTTTCCTTCTCCTTCCAAATGCAACTGATGAGACTGTCTCCCAAGAACTCGTTCCTTGACTAAATAAAAGCAAAAAAGCCCTGTTAAAATCTGAACGGAAACACAGCTTTACATTGCACGGCACTTTCCCATCATTATGACACTGTTGCAGTTTAAGAATGGTATTCTGCAATTTACTGTTTCCACTGAAAGGAGCCAGACCTCGCCGCTAGGTAGTGAGCTCCCCTCGCCGTGGCAGGATGGCGAGGAGAACTGAAGGCACAAAAACGTTAAGCATTACAGGACGAGATGAGAACAATAAACTACAAACAAACAGCAACGAAGTAAGAAAAATGAGCAGGAATGACATCAGTACTGATAACAGAGTGTACACGACAGGTGAACGATTCACGGGCTGCTGCTCACCCGACAACGCACTCGGCAAAAGCCGGAAAACATCCCTCCCTTCCCTTTCCGCGCTCCACCGCACGGCTCGGGGGCGATCGAATTTCCCCAGGGAGCTGGCTGTGCCCTCCCGGCTCCTGGAAAAGTTAACCTCAGCCGGAACAAGGATATACAGTCCCGCGAAATGAAAGAGCTTTAAACTCATAACGCTGATGCAGAATGCACGGGGCTTTCTTCCTTGGGAAAAAAAAAAAAAAAAAAAAAAAAAAAGGAAGGAAGAATAGCAGAGGACATTACTCCCCGAGAAAAACTGCCAGAGATGCAAAACTTGGTCTGTCACGGGTTTCATGGTGGTACCCGGAGAGGCCCGGTACCGGCCCCCCCAGGCCTTGAAAATCCTCTTCCAGACCGTGCCGAAATGGCTTGGGGCTGTATGTCCTGAATTTACCAGCAGGGAGAGCCAGCAACTGGGAAGCATGCTAAGGCAAGAAAAGGAAACATTGTACATAGGTATCTGTGCATGTCTATACATTTAACTCAACTGCAGCTAAATCCTTTACCGGTTTCCTGCAAGTTCATAAAAATATGATAAGATTGATTATTCCCAGTGCAGCTTGGAGAATACTACTGCACATCAAGATGAGTATGCATATATATATTCCTCCTAGGATATATTTATTCACTTACAGCCTTTATGCCAAACACAAACCAGAGGCTAGTGCTAAGCACCAAATCTAGGCATATATATAAGTAAATATCACATTCTGAGTTAGAAGGGACCCACAAAGATCGACTCCAACTTTTGTACCTGCACAGCACATCCGCAAGAATCACACCAAGTTTACATACTGTCTATTCTATATTGCACAGGAGGGGGTGTATACGACATATTATATACTACAGATATTGCACATCACGTACCAGACGGGATATGGTATTACACGCAACAATCTTTTTCAACTTGCAGAAAGTTTAGACTTGCGATTTACAACCCCAGCATCCCCGCAGGGCGCCCACACGCTAATCCCGGACCCTGCCCTCGCCGGGTCCCCTCTCCCCGATCCGCCCCGGCCGCTCACCCTCGGGCCGGGCGAAGCAGACGAGGATGTGCCCGGTGCCGGTGTCGTCCCCGGTCCGCAGCTCGCACTCGCCGCCGCCCGAGCGCTTCTGGCTCTGGAAGTAGCAGAGCAGCTTCTTCCTGAGCGAGGGCGGCGGCTCGGCGGGGCCCCAGTCCCCCCGCACCAGCAGCGGGAAGGAGCACGGCCGCTGCCCCTCCATGGCTGCCCGGCCGCTCCTCGCCCGTCGCTTTCGCTTTCGATTCCCCGCGCACCAGGGCGCGCCTTTTCCGGGAATCACGAGCCTTTCGTGTCTCCTGTGCCTCCTCTAGAGATAGCCCTGCCCCGGGCCGCCTCCTCGGCCCCCCAGACACAGCTTCGCACCAACGCCCTTAACCCTCCTGTCCCCCTGGAACATCCAAAGCACCCCCTCGCCTTATCAATGCCCTGCTTGCCCCTCTGCCGGGGGCTGGCAGCCGCTCTCGCTGCTGTCCCTGGAGTTCTTCCACCTGCTCTGCAAGAGGACGATCCTCACACAGAGTCGAGGCACTTGATTCATCTACAGTTCTGCACAGAGTGGGGGGCTGGGTGGCAAATCCACAGAGCCATCATGGAGACTACCAAAACTTTAGGGAAAAGTCGCATTAATGTTTATTGGCTACAGGTTACATACTTCTCTTTTTAATTAGTATTCTATCTTCTGTTGATTAATGATTCTCTTGCTTCTCATGCCAATTAGTTCACATGCTCAGTCTTTCTCTTCTTTTTGGGTCAGTGGGCCATGAGTTGGTGGTCATGATCTCCCCTTGCTGGAATTACCTTAAACCAGTAAGAGCTGAATCAGCATGCTTGCTGAGTTGCCTTTATTAGTTTCTTCCTTATCTTGGGGCTTCTGCCAAATGTCCTTATGGCCTGTAAATTCTGCATTCTTTGTGCCCACTAGCAATAGTAAATTCTTATTCCCAAGCCTTGTTAACCTCCTCCTAAGTCTCAAGTCACTGAAACATGTTGAGCCCTAAACCTTAACAAGGCAATTCTACTAACAAGCAATTTGTTTTCCTAACACAAGGATACCAGTTAGAACTTACTTGCTAGCTACCTGTTTATTGGATGAAATCTCCTCTCTTGTTAATTAAACTTGAGAGTGTACAAAGATCAAACACCAAAGAACATGGTTCCTGAAGGAAGTTTTTACATATTTCACATTTTGCATCATTGCTGCCAAAGGAACAAGATCAGGGTGGAACAATTTGTCATAGGAAATTTAGGTTGGCTGTCAGGAAAAAGTTCTTCACTTGGAGGGTGGTTGTGCACTGGAACAGGCTCCCCAGGGAAGTGGTCACAGCACCAAGCCTGACAGCATTCTAAAAGGATTTGGACAATACTGTCAGGAACATTGTGTGACTCTGGGGGATGTCACAGGGCCAGGAGCTGTACTTGATGATCTTTGTGGGTCCTTTCCAGTGCAGGCTATTCCATGACTCTCGGTCCCTTTGTACACGCCTGCCTCTGGCCTTTGCCTGTTAGAATAAGCCCATTTGGAAAAGCAGCATCTGTCACTCATGGCCTGCACAAAGCCCAGGGTGACAGGTTTCTGCTCCAGGCTTTATGCCCTAGACACCTGTAAGAAAAGCACTGATGAAAGACACCTTGGTGTCCTCTGCAGCTTCTTGTGGCGCTGGGGAAGCTGAGACCTGATGCAGTACTGGCTCCTGGAGAGAATGGTCACACTGGTACCAGTGACACATCAGCAGCAATGAGGCACCTGGAGCCATCTCCTCTGGCTCCTGGCAGGCTGATGAACACTGGCCACAGGTACTTGTTACAGGGATTTAATAAGTTTATTCACTGTATAAGCAAAGCTTGAAGACTTTTGGCCCCCATACCAATACCTTGATCTCCAGCTCTAGGTTAAATTGGTTTCAACACACTTGATCTCAACAGTCAGCAATTTTCAGTGGTTAAAACCAGAACTTTTGTAACCACTGAAAAAGTTTTTTTTACATAGTAAAAAGCAAAAAAGCCCAAAGGGAGCAGCTCCACTGCTGTCACAGAAGGATGGGATGTACAAATGCACAGCCTGAGGTTTATAGCTCTACTGAGATACTTGACTTGCATATTTGTGCTATTTCACACCCCTTCCCTAGAAAAGGTGTCCCTTGGCCACAGTTTCCCTACAGCACCCAGGGTAAAACTGTAACAGTAACCTAACTATGTAAAAGAAAGCACTGGAAAATTTTTTTTCTTAATCGTACAACCAAGTCAGTCAAACCCAGTACATTCAGAGGAGCTAAGGGCTTTTCAAAGCTGGGGGTGCTGGAAAGCAGCAGGGTTATGTATTTAAAAACAAGTCATTCCATATCTGTAATGTCAAGTTCATTGAAGTCCACTGGTTAAAAACCAATGCTGAATGTTCAAAGAGGTTTAGACAAACACAAGCTATTTAGTACAACTGGTTCATTTATTGAAAACTGCTCTAACATAACTTGTTATGAGATTGTCACAGAGTGTAAGAAGGCATCAGAAATGCAACACTGAACAGTCCATGGCTGCATTATCCCTTCCAATTCCCCACCAGCAATTAGGAAGACCCTAAGGCTGTGTGGCTGATACAGTACAAATGCTCACTACATAATCTAAAAGAGGATTGCAGTACAATATCATGCTCAAGTCTTAATACATTCAGCTGCTCAAGTGTAAACAAGCTTCAGGGGGATCAGAAATTGCCAGAGATTGCTTTAATCAACTCAGAATTTAATTTGACATAATTCTTTATTATTTTTGTTGTGTGTTTTGTTAAAGATGTTTCCATCCTACATAAAGGCTGAAAGACATGCAGTTGTGGCTGCAATCAAAATACTTACTTAGTGAAAGTGATAAGGTATTCTGGGTAAGCTTGAATGTCATTAAAAATTATGAACATGGAAGGGTGGCTCATGTGATCAGTTGAACTATCATACAGATCTACAGAGTTGCTAACATTTTTTTGTGCTGGAGTAATTGATCCTTTTATCCCCAGAGAATATTCTCCAACAAGGACTCGGGCCAAGTACATGTATTTCTTCCCATTCACATCTGGTCTAGAGTACGTGTCCTGGGCAGAATAGTTGGCATTAACAGCAAAGTAGGTTCCGTTTCCGTAGTTTGCAGCTGTAGTCAGAAAAGCAAAGGTTTGTGAGTGTTTCAGTAGCAGCAGCTCCTTATCTGCCACCTTCAGAGCCTGTGAATCTCTGGACAACTCTGCTTTTTATTTGCAATAGGGAGATACAACAAAATAAATAATTTTGCATACAAGGTAGGGCTATACATGGCATGGCAAATCAGTCCCACCCTATAGAGGAAAACAAGAGTTGTTTTGAAAGTTACATTACCGTGCATTCCAGCATAGCTCCGGTTAAATCCTTTTTTGTTAATAAGGGTTAATGACTCCTGACTTGTCCCATGAAACAGAAGCCTCTCATTATTTCTGTGGCCATTTTTTTTATCTATTTCACACTTTTTTATTTGGTAGTTTTTCCATAAATATTGGTTCTGTACCCTTTCAATCTGTGAAGTTTGAAAGTAAGACAGAAAGAAAGAAAGAAAGTGGGTAGGTTGCTGCAATGAAAAAAATTAGCCTATCAATCATTCAATTTGCTTCCAAGATTCCCCTCTTAGCTCAAATACACATATATCAGATGATGAAAAAAGTTAGTCAAATCCTTCCAAACTTTGGCATGGCAGATAGCAGAACCCAGCCCAAACCATGAGACAAACACTTCCTGGGAAACAATACAGGAGCTTTTCACAGGTTCCAGGCTGTAGATGCCTGCTGGGTCTGCACAGCACACGTGGCTTATGTGGGCAAAACATGTGCTCTGCTACAGCAAAAACCATTCCAAGGAACAGCACTCTCCCCTGGAGCTGAAGAAGTGACTGCTTAAGAGCTGCCCCAAATACCTCAACTGCAACATTAAACTGATTGAAGCTGACTAAAGTTAATGACAGCCAGAAAGACTCGTCCCAGCTTTAGAAATTCATAGGGAATTTATTTTTCTGTTATCAGTATCCTTCATCACTTGCCATTAAGTTAGTTATGCTCAGAAATGATGGCTTGCTTTTACCTTTTCAATTCTGAATGACTGACAGGTCTGCAGAAACCTTTCTTGCACATCTTTATACTCTCTTGAGTCTGCTTTTAGTTCCACTATTTTGAGTTGCTCATTTTCCATAGGGTCCCATGTTGGAGGGAGCACTATTGACTTTTGATCTGCAGAAGAAACACCATCAATCATTTTCACCCAAATCCCCTGCCTAAAATTAAACATGACCTGCTACAAATCCTTCTAGAAGTCTACACATCTTGCTTATGTATGACTCAGAAAGAAAGACCTCCTTGTATTGTAAAGGACCAGCAGTAAATGGAAGAGGGGATGGCTCAAGAACAGAAGTGAGCTGAGATCTAGCATGACATTAGAACATTATTGCCAGTAAGCCTGCTAAGAACATCAGAACACATTACTCTCTTTTCAAAATATTTTAAATAGCTTCTAAGTTCTTTTATTTCCGAGTTTGGCTCCTTTCTACATTCTCCAAAAAAGCACCTGCACAAAGCTTCTAACATGTATTTTAAATATTCTCATAATTCTCTTTTCTTTTCTCTCACTGGATGCAACCAAGTTGTTTCATGGCAACATTAGTCTGTCAAGATGTTTTTCCTTACCTTCAGATTTGTCAATACGTAAAATGGATATCTGTCCTCCTTGGTCATCCACAGCAGTCTTGCGTTCCATATCCACTGTGTATATTTGCTCACCAATGATGACTTCAACAGTTTTCTGCTTTGTCTTGTAAGCATTTTCCAACTCCACATTTGTGAGACTGTTGAAGGGTACATAGGAATCCTTTTCACTGTATTTCCATTCAACTGAATTTTGTAGAAGTTTTGCCTGGGCCTCTTTAGCAGCCTTTATCTTGCGGATCATTTTATGAACAGCTGAAGAAGCCTGGCAGACATCTTTTGCAACCCCTGTAATTTCAATAGAGGTACTCTTCAAATTAAGACAAATTTTTAATTTCTTTTCTAGGTCATCCAGTTCTTCAACCTCTTCGTCATCGAAATGAGAGATAGTCTCGTCTACAATTTCCGTATGAGATTGTTCATTTGAAATTGCCCTTCTCAGCCACTTTTCAGCTTCTTCCACTTCTTTTTTATTTTCACCACAAATCTGCACAACAGCCAGATCGATTTTCTTTTCCGAAACCACTTTGGTTTTTCCCTTTGGGGAATGTTTCTCAGAGCTCCAGAGTGCTACATTGAAATACATAAATATTGTCATTAATATTCATCTCTTTTAGCTGGTGCTAAACAGATTGATCTATAACCTGTATTTATGTGACATCTACTTACATTTACCCATGTGATATGCCTTGGAAACAAATGATTTGATTCGTGTTGCAGTAGACTGCTCTCTTTTCTGCATGCTTGCTTGGAACACACTCATCAGATGTGGCTGAAAGATGACAACTTTAATAGTTTTCACAGACGTGGCAGGATTCCTTTTTGCAAAGTCAGTTACTGCATCTATCATGTTGCCAGCTACCTCAGCTGGATTGCGGCGTGCCTCTCCTGAAAAAAGTTGCAGATATTTTGCTCTAGAAAGTGTTAATAACTGTTAGAGATGATTAAAACATCTTTAGAAGAAGAGCTATGAACACACCCACACAATCACCTGGATCATAAACAGGTTGAGAATAACCTCAGGCTGGCAGTCAAGAAAGGTTTCTCTATTTATCAGGAAAAGAAAGTTGGGGACCACCTCTCCAGTAAGGGAAAAATAGGAGTTTCCTTTTGTTGGCTTGGCAACCAATTGGGTTATGATGTAGATGATATGGCTTGGGTAACTAACAGTCAATAGGTCTCAGTGATCCAGTAATCCATTCCTTGCTCAAAATTCAAGCCTAGTTTTATTCATGCAAGAGGTTCCCACGCGCATGGGCTGCAGTTCTGGATTCTCAAGAACAAGAGAAGAAGAAAAAGGGCCAGTCTGGGCTTTTTGACATTTGTATCAATCCTACTTGTGCAGCTGCTGGCCAGAGTTCCATCACCTACTGATTTCAGCAATGGAGAAGTAGGTCTCTGGCTACTCCCTGATGAGCTGCCCACACATACCAGGCTGCAGGTTCTTCAGCAAGCACAGACATGCCTTTGAATCCCTGTTAGCAAGGAAGTGCTGGCTTTAGAAAACTCATGCTCTTGATGTACCAGATTGTGGAGAGTTTTGTCAAAGAGTGGCTTGAGGAGAGAGGACACAGCCGAATTAATTTGGGAAAGATGTCCTAACTAGGGCAGAGACAGGCAGAGGCCTTTTTGTGTCTGTAGCAGGATAGAGAATGGAAAAGTACAAGACCATGGTTAGTTCCAAATCTTGCAGGTGTGAGATAATGTGTCCTTGATCCTTGCATAATATGATAAAGAAATGGACAGTGAGGCAGGAAGAGATAGAGAATGTAGTCTCAAAGGAATGTGGATGAGTTAATGCTATAGTTTAACCAATAGATTGCTTGGCTTACAGAATATTCATAAGCTTATTATTTGCTGTATAAGTGTTTGATACTTTCTTCAATAAAGCAGGCCATGATGAACCAACTGGTGTCCTGGTCTCCTTCCTACGACACTAGATCACTGTAAGGAGTGAAGATTTCTAGCTTTCATAAGCCTCCTAATAGCATTTTTAAAGACTGCATATTTCCAAATATATCTTCAACAAATAATAACCTCTCCAGATAAATCAAACCCATCACTTGAGGCCTGAGATCAGCAGAAACACATGCACTGAACCCTTTTCAGAAAAGGGAGACACAGACCTGTTCCAATTGCTGGGAAGATGACAGAGGTGTACTGCTGCAGCTCACACTCCTGGAGCACCTGGGAAACCAGGGACCTGATATCATTTTGGTAAACAAAATGCATTATGTTTTTGCATGGCAGGTTTCCTGCCTGGGTGATGATATAGTTCTTGCCAGTTTTCTGGGCTGAAACATAAGTAGGAAAAAATAATCAACAATTATCCCCAATATAGATGTGTACTAGTCCTCATTAGGAAATAAGAAATGTTGAGAAATTTGCTCCAGGATAAGCTTTTGTCTCCTTCCATAAAATGAGCAACCCCTTCACTCAATTTTCTCTTCCAAGGCACAAGAGCTCAGTTTATTTTTGTAAAATATTTGCCTCCTTTGGCAAATAAATTTATTATGTGCCTTTGTTTGTCAGGTTTCCTCAGTAAACTTGAAGAACTTCATGCAGTCTGGCAGTCTGTCTACACACACACACAAATATGCCATCTGCCTGCAGGCCACCTAGCCCTCTTGGCCCATGCAAGAACAGCTTGTTTACCTCAGATCTCTTCCACATAGCTCTCTTCCTTTGGTTGATCTTCCAAGCTGATCTCCACACCTGCATATTTCCCACTTCCCTTATTTTCTGGTGGTTTAAACCACATACTCATCCATCTTTACTCCTCTTTCATTATAGTTGCTGTCCAACAGCTGTATCTGGCCCACAAATGGTTTCTCTATTAACATTTTTGCCAGCATCACCCCTTGCTCCTCACTCTGTTTGATGCTGACTGTTTTTATCAAGGAAATCTTTATTAGAATAAGAGTATAACAATAACGATAGATTTGGATCTTTATGTATGCTCAGAAGCTGTCTCTTCCTGAAGATTTTTCTTTTTCTTCCCTCATTAGATGTTTTACAAATACCACATAAACTGATTAAACACTAGTTGCTGTAACACAGTGTGTAATACAGATGGAACTACAGTAGTCAGTACTGAGAAAATATTCCAAGAGATTCCCTGCCATGCATGAACACCTTTGGAAAGGTGAGAAATGTGGTACCATACCTAGTACACCACATTCATCTTCAACTGTTTTTCCAGCACCGTTCAGAATTGCCCTGGAGACACCTTAAATGAGAAGAGCAACATGGATCCACTGTTACTGCTGTTAAAGTCCCATCTGAGGCAGAACTGTATGTCTCACCACATCTAAAAATGTCTCATTTCTGATAACATTACAGATGATAAATTTAAAACAGTGTAGCCAAAATTTTAGCCTTATATGCTTTTCAATTCAAATTGATGTCTCGAGAACCTAACAAGTTTCACTAAGGTCAGAACCTCACTAACATTTGTCTCCTCCTTTAGTCTGAGAGGTGTTCTATAAAAAGATTTTTAGTTTCCCTTTCTGCAAGGGAGTCTTAAACATGCTGTCCTGTAACATAGATAAACAAGTGAAAAAAGTTCAGACATTCCCTAATTGAACTTTTTTACCCTAAGAAGCAAAACAGAAACAACACTGTGAAGAAAATAAAAGGCTTTAAAGCATTGAAGAGAAATACTTGCTCCTCTTCCTTCCCAGCCCTTCCAAGCACATATACTTTTTTCACACATAGTATCAATTAAAATACCTGTTTTGAGGCTGAAGGTTTGGTTTGTTATGTTTACAATGGCATCTCCCTGCTCCTTGGTAATATCACCTTCTGCCACCCGGAACACCACGGAGCCAATTGTCATTTCAGGCACATTGTGTGCTGAGCTTGAAGGGACAGCAGAAAAAGCTGCAGGGACAGAAATACAGACCCTGAGCAGAAAGGAGTGATTGGGTACAATGCCTACAGAGACCACAGTTTAGCTACAGACTCAGCCTGTGGAAAGGATTGCCTGCCATGCTAACTGAGAATCATTCCTTCTCACAGGAGTCTGTACTCAACCTGCACTCATTCCCATCATTTCTGTCATGGCAGGACAGCAGGGAAAATGTGTTTTGCTGCACACCTGTTATGCAGACACTACTTAGTGACATTTTACCATTGCAAAACTCCAATGCAAGAGAGCAGCAAACTTTCCAAGTCTCACTCTCTTTTTCCTGTGTCTCACAGAGTTTCCAGGCAGGTTTTCTACTTCTTGAAAAGGCAGAACTTTTTACCCATGTGTTATTTGTAAAATCATAATTAAGATTTCAACATGTAACTCATTTTTCTACAGGCTGCAATTCCATTAAGATGGATAATACCAAAGACATTTCAGTTTGGTTTTGCTATTCATCTGAACATGTAAAAGATTTGAGAGTACTTCAAAAAGACCACTTCAACACACATACCCAGGATCTCACCTGCCTTCCCAGGACAGAGGAAGACACTGCCTTGTTCACAGTTTAATCTACTGCTGCAGCAATAAAAGAAAAAGCACTGCTTGTGCCCTTGACACCTTATAGCTTCTGCTGTTCCAGTTTTGAGGGGCGCTATCTGGATACAGAATCACAGGAATGCTTTTTGTATCATCTCTAATATTATTGCACACATAACAGACACTCAGCCTGAAAATATGGCTTTCACAGCAGGCACTCAGACTTTGGGAATGACATGCTCACCAAGCAAGTACCTAAATATCCATAATGAATGCATTCCCTGGAATACTTGAAAAAAATAATTAAAAAAAAACCAGTAGGCACACAGCTTTGTGATTAAACCTTACCTGGGCTTTGGCTCGTGTCATTTGGAGAAGGCTTCTGCCCTTTAACAGCTACAGACCTGCTTTCAAGTTCATCTGAAAATTCCTACAGAATGAAATTACAATCAACTCCTGTAAAAGTCTTCACACAGTAAAAATAAAGTCTGAAAAGCAAAGCTAAAAAGCATTTAGAAAGAACTAAATTGAAATTACTTCACATCATCTACCACAATGCTGATGGCAAGTCGGGACAGATGTTGTTCTCAGAGAGCAAGGCTGCTTGCTCAGTGTGAGCATCACAAAATCACAAATAACTGAGCCAAACCCTAGTTACCATTCCACAGGGACACAGCAGCAGAAGGCATCCTTACAGTGAGTGAGTTGTTTTCATTAGCTCAGCTCTCTCAGGGAATGTAGCTCAGGCTTTGGCACAGTAGCCTTCAAATTTAGCCTTTCAAAATGTATTGAAAGCTCTAGCACAAAGTACAGAAGGCAACAGATGTAGAAACACTTATCAGGACATCAATTCGCAGTGTGCTGTGAATTGTGTGCTCTCTTTCGGTGTGAAATGAGTAACTTGAGTGTGGCTAGAGAAAATTTATGCTAAGGGGACACTGAAGAGAGGGGGATGCAGGATACTTATATGTTTCTACTGGAGAAGTTTACCAGCACAGCAATCCTAGCACAATGATTCCTCCTAAAAAGACACCAGCACTCCATTAAAAGCACACCTGTTTGCCAAGGGTGCAGGCACTGAAGCAGCAAACTTGTCTGACCTATAGGCTGAAGAATTAGGTGAGTTAATGAGATAAAGAGTAATTACACTTTTGTATGTATTATTCTCAGGAAACAGAAAAGGATAGGAAGGGAGCCAGACTGTACTCGATATGTGGGTGACCATGGGAGGTAGAACCAAAAAGACAACTTTCAGTACAGATGATCTAGAGACTCTCACCAAACTTTTTCTTTAGTGTAAGAACAAGCACCTTGCAGATTCTTTGAATAGCATCAGATAGCCAAGTATCATAAGACTCACATACACCATAATATAATAGAGAGAGGAAACCACAGTAACTCACCTGAATATTAGCTGTGTCTTTTGTGTGCAACAGGAAGCGAACTTCTTCAAGAGAATTCACTCTGTTTTCACTACTGAATTCAAACACTTTGTCAAACAATAATTTAGCAACAACGGATCTCGGGAATTCCAAATTCCCTGTCCCAATTGCTGGAAAAGTAATTGATTTCAAAGACAGTTCTTCAGCAATCTCCAGGCATTTTGTGATTATGTCACCCAAGACCTGTAAAGCACAATTATTTTTTCAGTTACTGGAGGTAATTTTTTCCCAGTATGTGTAATGTAACACCTTCCATTTCATCTATCTCTTCATATTAAAATACAATTAATTCCATACACAAGGAATTTATTAGTCAATAAGGGATCAGCCCACAGTTAAAAAAGAGTGTGTCAAACTCTCTCATCTTCTATGACCCTGTCTCTCATTTCAGAGGAAAAGTGGCATTAAACACACTATAAATCCCAGAAAAAATCAGGCAAATAAAGAGCCTTTTACCTTTGCAGGTGTGTTTTTCTGGCACCACGCAGGTACCACAGCATGAAGCACAACACTGCAAGCCAGATTATAACCTTTAGTTTTCAACACAGATCCATCCTCAGGTATTCTTCCTCCACCTTCTTTGCTCAAGCCTGCCTGAAGCATTGGCCCTGCTTTGCTCAGCAGAGCTTTACCAAGTGGCCCTTTGTCAAGCTGGAGATCTTTGCCAACACTGACGACAACAACCGATGTCTGAAAAACACAGAAGCAAAAACTCTAGCTTGTCAATATCAAATTTAAATTTTGCATTGGATAATCAAATACAGCCTGCCTGATGGTCTACAAGGTAAATTTTTGGGACAGCAACCAGAGAGAACAAAGTTTTGGAATAAACCAGAAATTATGCTCAATTCTAATATCATGAGCCTGCCCAAAGACAGACAAAACTGAGTTAACAATTAAATTAAATTCAGCCTAATGGGAGTGAGAACTCTGCATTCCTTGTTTATTCACTCTGCCTCCATTTGAAAAACATTTTTGCAAGTTTGTTCTCAAAGAGAGGCTCACAGACCAAAATCTGAGTTCAGTGAGGTAGGCAGGGCCTCCCATGTGTGGCTCATTTAGGGGGACACGAAGACACTGAGGACAAATAAGACTTGGGGTAATCTAAGGAGAAAGAAGTGAGAAAAGCAGTAACTTATGAATGAGAGAAGTACAAAGAGCACTGAACATTGTAATCTAAGGAGAAAGAAGTGAGAAAAGCAGTAACTTATGAATGAGAGAAGTACAAAGAGCACTGAACATTGTGTCAAACCCTGTATTTATCTCCTCAGGAAGGGTCCCATACACATTTTAACATATATTCTGCCCTGGCCAACTGGAGGAGCTGCATGCACAAGCTGTGGGAGGCATCCACTCCTCAGAGGTTTTGCAGAAGAGTCCCAGATGGAGTTGCTTCCAGTACTGGCAATCCCAGTAAAGAATCTATCAGCCAGCTAACAGAAATTCAGTGCAGGAGGCAACCAGAAATCAATGATCAAAATCACTGGTTCTCCACAGGAAGTGCAATACCAACTGCATGACTACAAATGACATTGGTTTTGTGTTTGTTAGTTTTAAAAAAAGACACAAAAGAACCCACTTTTTATTTCAAAAGGAGATAATTTAGAACACTTACTTTAGCATCTTCAATGCTTCCTGTTTGCAGGATGATGTGAAGGCCTTCCTGAGTCGTTATGAATGGGAAGTTATTCATACGCTTGGAAGTTCTCCTCTGCCTGGGCTGAGGAACTGAAGTGACATGATGCAGTGGCCTGTAGGAAGCTGAAGACTCTGAAAACACTTCTCCAAATGCCTTGCTGAAAGCCTGAATGTTATCCTGTGCAAAACCCACCAGATGAACCTCCTTCAAGCTTCTGTTCCCCTTGGACTCTTCCAAGGTCTCCTTGATAGAGGATACAATGCAATAAGTACACAGTTCCATTGGGAAGCCAAAAATCCCTCCACTTATAGCAGGCAGAGCTATGGAACGATGCTTGTGCGCTTCAGCTACTTGTAGACATCTTTTCACTGTCTTCCTCAACAGGTTCACACAGACTTCTGGTCTGTCGCTGCTCCACCTGGGCCCGACGGCGTGGATGACATTCTTGCAGGGCAGTTTCCCAGCGCGCGTCATCACGGCGTCACCAGGCTGAAAATTCCCCAGCATCCTCACCAGCTCATCACACTCCTCCTGCAGTGCTGGCCCAGCTGCTCTTGACAGCGCCTCAGCCAGGCCACCAATGTGTTTTAGGTCTTCATTAGATGCATTCACCACAACATCAACGGGATGAGTGCACAAGTCAGCTTTATAAAGCGCTATTACAGTTTCACCCATGGTCACCTGCATATGGAGCTTGCCTCCGTTACTGTGTTCTTCTGGCTGCTCTTCCAGTAGGACTAAACACTTGTACATTTCTTTAATATTGACAGCCAAAAGGGGTGCTTGCTCTTTTATATATGCCTTGGCTCCTGGCAAGTCAATCACCACGCGCTTAAAATGCAAGCCAGACAGAATTTGCTCAACTAAGCTGACTCCCTCCAACACTTTTGTCTTTGGCCCACTCAACAATATAACTTCACAGTTCTTCTGAGTGCTAAAGTCAACTTTCACACCCTTTTTTGGTAGGGCAGCCCAATCATTGGCCTTCTCTTTCTTAAAAAACTTTATGAGTGCCATTGGTTTCCCTTCAATGACCTTTTGCACCTGTGTGTTTTCATCTATAAAGCTGGAAAGTTCCTCAAAGGCTTTTGCTACAGCTTCAGAAAGACCAGCAATCATGATCTGACTCTCTGCCTGAGTGACTGCTACAGCTCCATTAGAGCAGTTTTCCTTGACTAGCATCTGCCATTCCTCCTTCTGGAGGACCGACTCATCCCCCAAAGTAATGCTTTTGTGGTCCAGTTCTTTCTTTATTTTTTCCTCTGCTTTTAGGAGATCTTCAGGAGCATTCCCTTTCAGGATGATCTCTCCCACACCAAGCTCAAAAAAGACATTAATTTGTTTTGATATAAACAGGCTCTGTGACAGAGTTTCATTATCAATATGCTGTAAAAACTGAAAAATAGAAGGGTGGACATTAATTGCTTTCTTTGCCATTTTGTATACATGATCAAGTATTTCTCCTTTTACTTTGTAAACTTCTTCAGGCACTCCAGACAGGTTAATGCTCTTCTCCAAATTATCATAAGTCATTTGCAGGTTTGGGAACTCTTTACGAAATTTTTCTTCCAGACCAGTAATCTGTAAAATTCCATATTCCCCTGGATTCACTGTCTTAACTTTCAGTTCAGTTCTTTTCTTTTCTCTTTCAATTTCTCTGGTGGCCTTTTCGATCAGAAGCTTCAGTTCTTGTTCAACCTTCCTCACAACTTCTTTTTCACCTACTAGAACATGTAAATCCTTGGAAATATACGGGATCATCAGAACTTCATCATGGGGAAAGCTGTTACTAATGGCTTCCCACACCTCTGTGTTTACTTGACATTTAATTGCTTCATACTTTGATATGGTGTGTGAAAATGCTGTGGAAACTTCTTTTTTCCATGCCTTGACCAATCTAGATACAGATCTCTTCCGCTCAGAAAAAATAGCTGAAGGATGCAAAGTAACTGTTGGATCTGCACAGAGGGGACCAGGCCACACTGGCACACAATTACACTTTGCCATTTCATGATCTATTGCCTTAATTAAGCTACTATTTCCTTGCAAATAAATCCAGATATGGGGATCCAGAGGCAATGTAATTGGATCTGGTTTCTTTATCTGTGGCCCTTCCTTTCCATATAGAGCCGTTTCCAGTGAGGTGTAGTAAGGATAGACAAAGATTGGTGTTTTGTTGAGTGAATGCTTCTTTGCCAGGATATTTGTTACATCTAAAACAAACAAACAACCCCCAAAGTTATTAATGTCAGCACTTAAGATCTTCTCTTTTGTTCTGGGTTTTTTTTTTTTCATTGTTTGGGGGTTTTAAAACTGTATTTTCTATATAATAGTGTTTGTTATTTTTAAGAACATTTTTAGATTAATTTCCTCCACTTCCCAAATAGAAATAATTCCAGATTTCTGAAGAATTATTCATTTTAAAAGCCAGAAACTGAGTTGAAGAGAGACAGTCAAGCACAACAGCATCCACCTTTGGGAGAAGGTGTGCATAATCTCTGTCCCCACTTCTCCTATGTACTGACCTGAAGCTCCACAGTTGTCTGGGCTATTACTCAGCAGTTCAAATCACAGCTCCTCTGTTTTCCCAAAAGACCATCTCTTTCCTCCAACTCCTCTTCAATTCTCTCCTTCACTTCAATGCCCCCAGCTTCTCCCTTGTCCTACACTTTTCACAGTCACTCATCTTTCTGCCACTGACTGGACAACCCACAGCACCTGCTCTCCAGCCAAAAAAGGCTGCCCAAGGAATGGTCCTGAGATGAGCCAGACTGGCATGCTGCCATGGGCAGCTGGTGCCCAAGATGGCAGGTGGGGGGGAAATCTCCTGTGCCCAGGGGGCTGTGCACTCCCCACAGAACTCAAACTGCAACCTGAACTCTGTCAGAATCAAGGCCTGGGTGAAATAAACTGTCTAAAAAAGGAAAAAATTCTATGCCTTATGGCCAGCTGGTCCAAAACTGAAGCTTGCACTCCACTGAGCATGAGACCTGTGGGCAAAGCACCACGTCTGCCATTTTACAAGAGCAAAAGAGGTATTTCTCTAGAAAATCCACATTTTGGTCTTTAAATGGGAGGTGCTCAAACAATAAGGGCTCTGCATTTCTGCAATACCTCTTTGGTCACCAAATGTAATGATAGCTGCATCTTCATCAGGCAGCAGTTGAACATCCACGGTCTGTGCACCGCCGTACTTCTCATTTTCAAAGTAGAGAGCTATGTAGTGACTGGAGGTGTTGGGTGGTATATTTTCAGCCCTAACAGTTTTTGTTTGCTCAAGGCACCATGCAGTAATGTTTTGTTCCCTTGCTCTCTGGTTTTGATTCAGCTTTTCAACAAATTCCTCTGCATCTAGAAAGAGAAAGGAGAAGAAAAAAGAAAAGATCAAACTCGGAGCGTGTTTTTCTGCCATGATGTTAGCAGACTATCACTGTGTACACTGATCAAAGCACTGAATTACAAAATCAGTCCAGAGCTGCCCACAAAGACACCTCTTTCCACATATTCAGTATCTGTCACTCGGTATTCCCCCCATGGATGATTACAATTGTTGACTACAATGACTGCAGCTGGAATTTGCCATTGGTTTTCCTACTGACTGTCACTGGGTTCTTCAGCTGCAGCAGAAAACAACATCAGGTTCATTTTTAGGCTATGGCTTCGTACACAACTAATAAGACGCAAGTTAAGAATTCAAATTCTCTCAATGTTATGATAAATATATTCTCATTTTGGCTATTTCCCCCCTGTTATCCTCACAATAAAAGACAGTCAAATCACTTTTCCGTCTGCCAAGGAGAAACAATTAAGTTTCTTAAAGATCCACTTATTTCCTAAAGGCTACCCCAAAAATTTAAGACTGGAGCATGACTTGAGAGACACAGAATTTCTAAGGCAGAAAAACCTACACCTTCTCTGAAGGACAGCTTTTGGCAAGGACAGCTTTTACCATTGCTCTGTTCTCAGACCAAGTATATCCTTTATTGCTTGTTTTAAGTTATAGTTTGGTTTTAGTCCTACCTGTTGTGCTTACTATCAAAACCAGAGCTAGCTCTCTTTCTGACTTGCATGGCCTCTCTACCTCACAGATAAAGGTTATGGCATTAAGTGAAGTAAATCCTCCTTTAAAAGGACACAATATCAGATCAAATCTTAAAAATACAAAAGATAATACTTCCAGTTTAATCTCACTCACATACACGCATACAAACAGGTACCTAATAAAAAGAGCTTCAACTCTGACTCCTTCTTACCAGTATTTCTAGTGAAAGTAACTACAGCAGCATGTAACTCAGGTATCATTTCCACACTGAAGTCACCATCCTCCTCTGACAAGCCACTGACATTCTCTACCAGCAAAATTAACATGCAATCTTTGATTGTGTCCTTCACATTTTCCAGCACAACTGCGGTGGGAAGCAGGGATCCTTCAGAGTTCTCCACTTGGCAAGACTCCTGGGAAGTTGCCACTTGCCATGGCTTCACAACCAGATCAATTTTACTCAAGTGATGCTGTCTTTGTAAAACTTCTTGGGCATCTGGTCCCACAGAAAAACAGAGATGTCACAGCAGAGTAGCATGTTAATCAATAGCAATAATATATCATTTCTGCTTGGAGCAATGCCTTCAGAGAGATCCTGCACCAGCAAAGGCCTATTTTTAAAAGAGAGCTGAAGCAGTGTAACATACCTTGCTCTTCCTGAAAGGTGATGATCACTTGGTCATCCTTTTTGACATAGGACTTAATGGGCCCTCCACCAGACCTCCTTTTACTTTCAAAGTACATTTCCAAAATCTCATGTTCTATTTCCTTGCCAAAGGCAGTGGTTACTACTACCGCAGAATTCCTAGAGGTTGCTTTCTCTGCTTCCAATTTCTCACATGATTCTGAAATAAAAGATCACACCCTAATGTCTTAGGCAAAAGTTAAAAAGAAAGCCAAGCTTCCCACCTTCCAAGCTTTCACACCACTTTTTGTTCAGATCACAGGGTCAGGGAAAAGAACAGGGCAAGAATCCCAAAGAAGTTAAGCAGATGACTAGCAGGAGTTGCTGCATCAACACATAGGGAGGAAATGCTTCAGTTCATCACCAGGCAAGGACAGCAGAAGTAAAAGATACAAAAGCCTCTTCACAAACATGCAATGAGGGGAAGCAGTGCTCCCCATTCACAGCTCAGACACAGCTGTGGGTCACCTGGGTTTGATATTTGCTGGCTGCCACGGCTACTCAGGCGTACCTGGGGTACACAGCTCCCCATGCTCTGGCACAGGGCGGCCCCAGCAAGGCTGGCAGCAGCTGGGAAGGAAGGTCTGGGTAGGGACAGCCTCAGCCAGAGCAAAGGCCAGCACTCACTGCTGTCCCCAAAGGAAGTGACCTGTCTGAGGCACACAGTGAAGTGGGGGCTCTAAAGGGACTCATAGAAAGGAAAACATACATTTATTTCTTTTGGCCTGGGATCACAATTGCTACACTACATTAGACAAACAACAAAAGCCACAAGGGTGTCCAGGGCACTTCTGCAGCAGAAAGGTCCAGAAAACCAAAGGAGCAAGAATACAACGGTCACCACCAGGTAAGTGACACACTTACCTGTCTTCTCCTGCTGAGCACACACAGGGGTTTCCTTATTCTGACAGATGGGAAGAGACACCTGGGGTTCATTAACTAGAGATAAATGACAACAGTTTCTCAGTTGCTGGGTACTTCAAGAAGAAAACTGACACATTAATGTACACCCAGGAGCTAACACAGCTTAAATTTTCATTTGACACTGTCAGAATCACAGATTTCCACAGATATCTCTATTTTTAAACCAAAAGTTGAATTGGTTACAGAAAGACGCTGAGCTCAAGACGCTTCGGGCATAATGTCAGCACACAGTCATGCTGCACAAACCGCCAGGAGCAGGTCCTGCCACGCAGCACAGCATTTTCCTCACACAAAGAGCAGCACTGGACATAAGAAGTGCTGAGGACATCAGCCGGTGGGAGGGAAGCGCCTTTGAAAACTGAGACCTCTGGAAGAGACTCTGTCAGGACGTGTTTGACCCAGCATGACCACGCAACTTCCTAGTTTAGAGCAAGAGGAAATGCAGCTGCATTAGAAAACAAAGGACAATGGTAAGATTGACCAGACTGCTTTTGCAGCCTGTGCCCTCAGCCCTCACCTGCACAGTCACCCCGCTATGCACAAGCAGGTACTCTGAAAGCAGAGCTCAGCGAGCTGTGTATTATCCCTGTGAATATGGATTACTTCTGTGTGTACTGGCAGTCACACACTGATTAGCTGTGTATTGGCCATGCGTGTGTATTGCTTAGTCCTATGCGTGTGTATTAGCCAGATGTGTATTGAGCAGCTGTGCGTGTATTGATTATACAGTGTATGTGTATTAGCCGTGATAGCGTGGTCGGTCTGTCCGGTGCCTGGGATGTGGCTCGGGGACTGTGGCACCTTAGGAACTTCATCGTGTTTGGGATTCGGGAAGTGAAGGGGAGCGCCGGGGAGAAGAATCAAAGCGCTACAGCGCCGTTCGGCCGGCCCGGCCAAGCAGCGGCTCCGCTGCTTCCCTA